GCCTTACGTGTGGTAAGATAGTTTGGAGAGTTACAAAATCACATTAAATGTTGACAGCAAAGCAAGTCAACAGTGATACTTTAAAGGGCTCTACGGTTCTCTGCTGCTGAAGCAGGATGATGACCTTGGATAGATATTTATTCAAAGAGGAAGCATTGTTTCTAATACGAAAATGTAGCTGATAGAAACAGAGAAATAGAAGAACCTGTTGTTTAGAACCAAGTATTTTAAAGATACTTTTCTGATGATTGCTACATCCACTTGTCATACGTAACTGTTCTTTCTCTGACTATTTGGAAAGTCCATCTCAGTCAGGGGGAAAATAATTTTGTGTAAGCACTTATTAGGATAACTAATGTGCAAGAGAAAATATTCTGGTGCCCTAACTACTGGGAGCCCTTTTCTAAATAACTGCCACAGAGTTCTGTAGACTTTTCCTTTATGGAACTATTTCTATAGAGATCGGTAAATTCTGCGGTATCTCCCAACTGTGTTCTGAATGTGTGCAGATCTCCTTCTCCATTCCACCACCTTTGTCCAAGCTATTGACAATCCTTTGCCTAGACCCCTACAATAGCATTCTGACTCTGCACTTCCTTCCCTTGGAATGCCCTCATTTCATACTGCCAAGTATTTCTTTTAAAAACAAAAATTTGATTAAGTCATTTGCTTGCTTCACACCTGCTGGGAGCATTTGATTTCCAGTTGAATACAATCCAAAGTCCTTGCTGGCCACAGAGTTGAACATAATCTGGCCTTTTCTTGGTGCTCTGATTTCACCCAGCCCCCTTTTCCAACCTTCCTGTCAAATCCACAGTGCTATTTTCTTCTGCCCCAGAGCTTTTGCACTTGCTGTTTCTCCATGGTTGGGTTGCTCTGCCTCTAAATATTTACAGTTGTCCCTTATTAGACTTGGCATTTCATTTCAAGTGTTTCCTCAAGAACCTTCCCAGGCCAATCTTCCCTCAACGTAGATCCTTGCTGCTCTCAGCTGTAACATTCTAACTTTCTTCATAGCACTTTGTGGAGTGCTAAACAACTTCCTGTTGTTGAATTGTTCATAAAATCTTTCAGTGACATTGCCAGAAAATGAAAAGGGGAAAGGACTTCCATGAGAGGGAGTGATCAAGTGTGGGGTAGAGGTACGTTTTGGGATGAAGACAAAAATAATTATATTTTTTTGAGATAAGATGAATAAACTACTGTATTTTTTTCTGGAATATGCTACTTCAAGGCTTTTAATGTTCCAAGAGATAATTTGTAAAGCTTACAAGAAAACAAACAAAGAGAGAACGCAATTATTTGCAAAAATCATTTTAAGGCTCTTTCCTACTTGTGTGCTAATGAAATGGCAATTACTGAGAGATAGCAAAGCATAGAACCCTGAAACAGAACTGAATCCCTAGTCTTCTGCTTATCAGCTGTGTGATCTAGGGATAGGAAACTCTATACCTCACTCTCCTCATTTGTAATGGTGGGAAAATGATAATAGTAATACGGTACCTTCATTAAGATTAAAGTGTGGACTTACTACCTGGATGTTTCTAGAATGGACTGTGGCATAAAGTATGTTTTCAATACATGTTAACTATCATTACTACCACAGAACAGAAAATCATCTTGCCTCTTAGTGCTTAAGACATAAAATGTTCAAAATCACTGCCCATTAGAGAAATGCAAATTAAAACAACATTGAAATTCCATTTTAGCCCAGAAATGATGGTCATCGTATGAAATCAAACAACAAATGTTGTTCAGCCTATGGGGGGAAAAGGAACCCTCCTCTATTATTGGTGGGAATGCAGATTCATAAAACCACTATGGAAATGAGCCTAGAGTTTCCTCAAAAAGCTAAAAATAGAAATTCCTTTCAATCCAGTGTTGTAGTCAGGGTTTGCAAGGGAAACAATTTAATACAGGACACATACTTTATAGGACTACTTTATAATAGTCACCTAAAGAGTCAAACACAAAAGAGTGCAAGAAATCTGTCCACCCCCTAAAGACCCAAGGAATCCAGCTGAGGGCCTGGATCCCGTGGCAATGTCCTTCACGAGTCCAGCTGAAGACCTAGAGCCTATGACAACACCCTCCAAGAGTCCAACTGGAGGCCAAGAGCCCATGACAATGTCTCATGCAAGTTTGTTTGACAGATCTTCACTGAAAAGACCCAAAGGGCAGTGGTGGGAGCTAGAAAGTCCGCAACAGCAGGATGAAAAACCTATGCCAGGAGGCTGAAGGATCTGTGCTGCGGCCAGGAATTGACACTCAAAGTAAGGACCAGAGCTCCCTCCAAAAGTATCACAGCCATCCTCAGTGACAATGAGATGCTTAGCTCCTCCCATGATGACAGTTGAGTTCACATCAGGAAAGCCAATGTGACAAGCTTCACCAGGAGATTGAACAGTGCACCATCTTCTCCTCTGGAGCCAGCAAGCGATGCTTGAAGTAAGGACCAGAGCTCCCCTATAGTGAACTGCAGTCACTTTCAGAGACAATGAGGTCCCGAGTTCCTCTGAGAATAGCCGAGTTCATATCAGGAAAGCCAGAACGACAAGCTCCTCCAGGAGAACCAACAGCAGCACCTCTTCCTCTCCAGTTTTCCTTTTTATGTTGTTAGTAACAACCTTCAGGTGGCCTTCCACATACACACTGATTCATTTCAGCTGAGTGTTACAAGCTGACCACCAGTTGTCAATCCACCACACCCAGCTATTCCCCTCCTAGATATCCTCCAGAAACAGTTAAAAATATTCTATTGCCATACATAACTGTTCATATTATGGGTCCTGCATACCCGTGTTTATAGCAGCACAATTCCTCATAGGTAAATGTCAGAAGTAGCTTATATATCTATCAACAGATGAAGCAAAAAAGATAATGTGGTATTTATAGCCAGTGGAGTACTGCTCTGCTGTGATGATGAACCTGAGTCATTTGAAGGAAAATGGATGCCTAGTGAGACCATAACATAAATGGAATAAATGAAATGCACAAGCTTAAATCACGTTTTATATGAAAAATTCAAATTATAGATACAGGGCAAAATAAAAGAGATAATAGAAAACAGGGCAATAGATCTTTCTCAAAGGGAAAGGGAACCAAGAGATGGAAGGAGAGGAAAAGGAAGGGAGGAGAAGGACATGAAAAAAATACCCTTAAGATGAGGTATTTGGATGCTTTAAGTCGCCTCAAGGAATGTAAACATTATGCACCGCAAGCATGGGCTAATAAGAAAAAAAAGAACTGAAAGTTTAGGATTTCCATTTCCAGTCCGGATGAGGTAACAGATCAAAGAACTCCCCACTTTTGAAGCAGTTCCCTGGCTTTGTGCACAGATTATCACAACAGATAGACATTTTTGTGTCTGCTCTCAAAACAATGAAACAATGAAGAACATCTCACCAGCAGTAGCTAAGAAATAATGCGAGAAACACTGGAGAAATATAAAACAGGGATGTGGAAAAATGCTTTGGCTTGGTTAAGTAGATACACACACATACATGCACCCATCCAGCAGCTTTTAAATGTATTTGTTGTAGTACTACATGTAGCAAAGTAAAAGCATTCCCTTTTCATCTTTTGTGTTGATTTCTTTTCTTCAGTCAAAAAAAGTCAAAATCCGTGTGTGGAAATCTCTACTTTTTTGCTTATAACCGTACCTCTAGTGATAGTGTAAGTAGTTAGCGAGATGAGAGCTGGAGCTGGAGAGCACCAGGGCAAACAGGGAGGAAAGAATCTCAGAAACGGTGTGGACAGACATCCTGAGCTTGTGGTCTCCCAGCCTCTTGGGAGGGGCTTATCCTCAACTACTGGGGGAGGGGGCCTCATGTGTACCGCAAAGATCCACAGCCTCAAAGTGCTCACTTCAGCCCCTCACTGTGGGACACTGACAGGGTGGTGAGCCAGCCCGGGACGCATAAGCCTAGCTTCATTCCTCCCAACATGCAGACTTCCTGCTGAAACGGAGAAGGTCATAGCCCCAGAGGTGGTGAAATAGAGCATTCCATCCCCAAATACTCCATTTCCCTTCCCCCTCCCCTCATAAACAGTAATTCCCAGTGCTCTCTGCACACTTGGACTTTCACGGAGTTTCCTCTTCAGAGCTCCCCCCGGTGTCTATGCCTGTCTCTCGATACATTGTCCTACTAACCCTGTGATTTGCTGATTTTCTGTTTCTTCACTGTACACCTCCTCATAGTTCTTCTAGGGCAGAGTCCAAGAACTGAGACAACCTTCACAGTTGCTAACAATAGCGCCTAGAAATATTTGGCATCAAGTAGGCACTTAATGTTTGTTGAATGAACATTCTCAGTGACCCTTCAACTTTAGTGCCATACGTATCCCATGGTTTAGCTAATTAGCTCATTCAAGACAAAAGTAGTCATTGCTGAAATGGGGGTGAGCCATTGTGCTTTTAGACATCCCGTAACATTGAAGCACATTTCCTCCTTTTAGGTATCTATTCAATTATTGCTTCCACTCCCTCCTACATTCCTCCTGAATATGATCACCTCACCACCCAATGCAGTCCCTAGTCCTTTGGTCCCACAAGCCCATCAGCAATTTACTGATGGATGAATCTATAAACCTGGATTTTCTCACGCCTGTCAAAATGTCAAGTGCATCCTATGAAAATGAATATCCTCACCTAAGTCAGCTCAGTGCTTGCACATTTATTTCTGCTTTAGCGTTAACTTTTCCTATCTTTCTGCTTACACTGATAATTGAACTATTGTTCAATATGCAGTTTTTTTAAAAAATTGACTAAGTGAATGCTTCTTTTATTTACAAAAGACTTAAATGCTTCTTAATCACAAAAGAAGAAGAAAGTTAAACAACATTCGCTGAATTTTCTGTAGTGTTTGGATAAGCCAAGGCCATGCAAGAGTTAACTGCTAAAAACATCGAAACAAAACAAAAGAGAAAGGAGGAGCCTCTGGCTCCAAGTAACTAATCTTGGAACCTGTTTCTAAGATTATAACCTACTTTATGCAACCCTCAGAGCCAAAGAAACTTTACCAAAGGATTAAACCTTATGTAAACAAAGATCCCTTTATTTACATCTCAGCTTCTCTGAAGAATCAGAAGCCCCAGCTTACACACTTGCAGTGCTTTATTGGTGCTGATTACCCAACATGTAATTTCTTTCTGTAAAAAAAACAAAAGTTTGATGATCTTGCAGAACAGAAGCAGCAGTGAGTGGAGATGGTGCATGGAAAGGTAACAGTCGTTCATGTATTTAAGTTGTGGGTTGCAATCTATTCGTTTCTGCTTGGAGAAAATAAGGTAGATTTAGTACTTAATGATAAATTTCAAATTCTTTGATTTTGTTGAATCACTTTGCCTGTACTTTTCTGATAGCAATAGCAACTCTATTAAAGGTAGATTCATTTTGTACAATAGCAGTAATACCGTGTGTTTATATGTACATATAAAAATACATTGAGATTTACATGTGTAGTTACAAGTGGTTTGGAGTATTAGAAATGAGTCTAAATGATTCTAAAAAATGTTCTTCCTTTCCTACTTTCTCATTGTCCTAAGAAGCCCCTATTTATCTGGTTCTTTCACATCAATACTTTAAATTCTGATCAAGCCTACATTCTCCGCATTCCTCTCTCTCCCTTGAAATCATAGAGTGTTAGTTGTCTCTGCAGTACTCACGTACGCTTGACAGGCACATATACACACTTTAGCGGCGTTTGCATTCAAAATTTAAAGATGAGAACATCCCAATAATAAAAACAATTTAAAAAGTCAATGTGGTGCAGATCTTTTTATATTTCCTTCTATATTCACATGAACATATGCAAATACATGTAGTTCTGTGGAATTATATACACATGATCCCCCTATGTTATTCACAAGCACAGGATTATAGCTGTGTGCATGCCTTGTTGCTGAATTCATTTATCTGTGTACTGTGGATATCTAAGTATACCTATATATCTCAAAATCATGTTTGCTCAATCTAGCCTTAGACAGCAGCAACTGTTTCTGCACAATAGACTTCCAAAAGTGAAATCACAGAAACATTGTCTACTGAAGTACACCACCCCACCATTTCTCCACCCCATTGCACTACACGTTTAAACCTTTTGCATTTGTAAAATTTATTGGTGAAAAAAATGAGGATTCATGTTACTTTCATTTCCTTGACAAGTAGTGATGTTTTTATTAAGGGAGTTTTATATTTGAATAAATATATTTGCAAAATTCATTTGCATTTCCCTTTTCCAAACTCGTTATACATTTCACCCTCCCTCCTCCTCCTCCTCCTCCTTTTTCTTTTTTTTTTCAAAGATAAGGACTTGCTATGTTACCAAACTAGCACAGAAAGATTGAATTCTTTAATCTTTCTGCCTCAGCTTCCTGAAACCTGTGATTACGGGTATATATGTGCCATCTAACTCAGGTTTGCTTTTATTGCACTTTTGTCAAGTCAACTCATAGGAGGCCTTTTCTTTTTTCTTTTTCACGTCAGAGTTATAAATCCTGATTTTCATACATATTTCACTTTTCCATATCTTTTTAATTTACAGTGTATTTTTTTGCCCTTGTGTAATTTTTGTATTATGAACAGATATTTCTTTTTCGATTCTTTTCTTTCCTTTTCTTTCTTTCCCTTTTTTCTTTCTTTCTCTCTTTCTTTCTTTCCTTCTTTCTCCTTTCTTTCCTTTTCTTTTTAGTCTTTTTTTAAAAAGATTTTCCTAACCTTAAAATTTTTCTAATTTATTTTCAATTCTTTAATTTTCTTTTTAAATCTTTATTTTACTTTAGTTTATTAGTACATGTGTGTAGTACATACTGTTTACATTCCTTGTGAGGAACTGATACATGTGTATAACACATGCAAATTTCCTTTCCATCCCCTTGCCCTTTCCTCTCTTCCCCCTCTGTCCATCTCTTGATCCCCTTCCTCTTTTTCTTTTTTATTGTTTTGAATACATTGGTACTACATAATATTTAGATTCTTAATCCCTTACCCTTTTTATATTTGGACATGAGGTTAGGCAGGGCTACCACTGCTTTTCTTGCCAGATGGTAATCCAGTTCTGACATCAAGATACCTTATTTAATAGGTTGTACTTTTGCTGATGAAGTAACATTCAAGTATTCATCATATATTACATTTTTATGTACAGTAGTTCTAGTTGTGGGCTCAATTTTATAGCAAAAATCTTTGGTATATGCTTGTGAGCCTATCATATATTTTCATTAAATTAGGGTCACAGGAGGTTTTGTATTTTCTCTGGAAGGTGACAATAGTATTTTCTAGAATTTTCAGGCAAATCTTCAAAAGACGTTTTTTTGTTTGTTTTTGTAGTG